AAGGGTTTTCATTTCTCCACATCCTGACATTTGTTGTTCTTTTTAAAAGATCAAAGTGTCAGCTTTGAATATGTCTTTAGTCAAACCAAGATAAAGGAAACAGAAAGACAACCATTCTCTATTTTCCCATGTGCTGCTATCACAAAAGGATTCACTTTCCTTTAATACAGCATAGTCATGGCCACCAATAGCCATTACTATAAATGACATGGGATTTTTCTATGTGGTGATACTCATTATATGTGGCTATATACCAACTGGTATGGAGAGAGTCAAGAAGCACTACTTCCAGGCATCAGGGCTCTGGAGCCTGGCATGCCGTGTAGATCTGTGTGATTGATTGGGAATATGTTCTTTAACCTCTCCACTCAGTTGTCCTGCCTGTAAAGCTGAGAGCATAATCACACAGCCATCTTTGTGCTGTCATGATGACTGAATGCAGTTTTATTTCTAAAGTGTTTGGAATAGGACCTAGCCTAAACAAGCCTTAAACTATGCAGTAAGCATGTGAGAACTCTTTTGTGAGACTCAGGGATCTGGGGCTTTGCTCAGAGCCTGAAACTCTACCTAACAATACATTTTATAACTGTAGGTGTTTCCCTCTCTGCGATTCTTTTAAAGTTGGCTGGAAAATTTCTTCTCCCTGTTCAACATATTCAACTGCCATGAAGAGTGTGTTCCATGCTCCAAACATCCAAATGTATGGAATTTTTAGGTAATTTTTTTTTTTTTGGACAGGCAGAGTGGACAGTGAGAGAGAGAGAGACAGAAAGAAAGGTCTTCCTTTGCTGTTGGTTCACCCTCCAATGGCCGCTGCGGCCAGCGCGCTGCGGCCGGTGCACCGCGCTGATCCGATGGCAGGAGCCAGGAGCCAGGTGCTTTTCCTGGTCTCCCATGGGGTGCAGGGCCCAAGCACCTGGGCCATCCTCCACTGCACTCCCTGGCCACAGCAGAGAGCTGGCCTGGAAGAGGGGCAACCGGGACAGAATCCGGCGCCCCAACCGGGACTAGAACCCGGTGTGCCCTCACCGCTAGGCGGAGGATTAGCCTAGTGAGCCGCGGCGCCGGCCAGGTAAATTTTTTTATTCATTCATTCATTTCTTCAATCAATCAAGAGGCAGAGACAGAGATATAGAGAAAGATTTTAAAATAAAGAAACAGACAAAGGCTGGCACACAGGCACACAGAAAGATCTTCCATCTACTGGTTCATTGCCCAAATATTCACCACAGCTGAGATTGTGCCCTGCTGTAGAGTGGAACCAGAAATTCAATCCTGGTCTCCCATGTAGATGACATAGACACAAGTACTTCAGATGTTACCTGCTGTCTCCCAGGGTTAGCATTTGCAGGGATTTTGAATAAGGAACAGAGCCAGGACTCGAACCCAGGCAGTCTGATATGGGAAACACAGGCATCTCAAGTGGCACTTGAAAAACTGTGCCAAACACCAACCATAAGAGTAAAACTTTTAAATCTTTAAAAAATTTAAAAATCTTTAAAAAAATGTAAACTTTGGCTGGCGCCATGGCTCACTTGGCTAATCCTCTGCCTATGGCACCAGCACCCTGGGTTCTAGTCCTGGTTGGGGCGCCGGGTACTAGTCTCGGTTGCTCCTCTTCCAGTCCAGCTCTCTGCTGTGGCCCAGGAAGGGAAGTGGAGGATGGCCCAAGTGCTTGGGCCCTGCACCCACATGGGAGACCAGGAGGAAGCACCCAGCTCCTGGCTTCAGATCAGTGCAGCTGCCAGCCGTGGCAGCCATTAGTGGAGTGAACCAATGGAAAGAAGACCTTTCTCTCTGTCTCTCTCTCACTGTCTATAACTCTCTCTCTCACTGTCTAACTCTGCCTGTCAAAAATAAAAAAATTAAAAAATGTAAACCTCAATCTTTCAAATTAAGTTTTTAGGAAAACGTGTCTCACTCCACAGGTTTCAGCTATGGAGTGCCAGTTAGAGGCTTCTGATACAGTTTCTCACTAATGCACCTAGGAAAGCAGCAGAAGATAGCCCTGTAGTTGGGTCCTTGCCACCTATGTGGGAGACCTCAATAGAATTCTTGGCTCATGGCTTCTGACTACTGTGTCATTTGTCAATATTAATCACACTCCTGGGAATTTGTCCCAAGAAATAAAACCATTTATTCATGAAGATATTAATGACATTGTTTATAACAAAAAATTAGGGAAATAAATAATGATAGCCCATGCCCTGGAAAGAATATTTTCAGCCAATAAAAATGAACTGTGAAGTGTGTGATAGAACAATATATTGAAATTTTAAGTGGAAACAGATTTAGAGGCAAATTCAGAGTTATGAATTGTAAGTGATTAAACAAGAAAAAGAATGAGTCAAATGTATTAAGATGTCTCTAGATTATCACTGGGTTTCTAAAATATTTTCATTTTTGCTTTCTTGTATTTAATAGTTTCATAAATGTAGTCAAAGGCTAAATTTGTATTATCATTACTCTACAAGGAAAAAAAGTCTTAGTTTTAAAAAACTTTAGTTAACAAAACCGCTGTACCTTCTCACTTTATTACTCTCCAAAAATTAAAGAAGAAAATATTGCTTCATAGCACTTAAGGTGTAAGAATATAGAAATGTCTGGGAATCCGGTCTCTACTCAAACAGTGCTTCACAGGATGCAGGTGTTTAGATCGAAGCACAAGGAGTCACCAGCATTTGATTTTTTTTTTACCCACAGAAACAGCAATTTCATAGTTCCCACTTAACTATTCCTGGTGACAGCCTCAGAAATCAAAGTCTGTCCTCAACTCTGCAGGTCCTAAAACTGGTTTTAATGATATAATCAGAGGTGATCTGCAGTAAGAATCGTCCCCAAAGTGATGGATACTCCAGGATGTTGAAATGGGGATTTCAGTGAGTGAAATAGTGTTGATTTAGGCAGGATGACTGGTTCCAATTTTCATTCTCTTGGGAAATTATGATTTTGTCAGTTACTCACAAGTTTTCATTAAATTCCTACTGCTCTACACTAGGCCTCGAGCTAAGTAGTAGCACAGGAAATAAAGAATAACAAATTTGAATCAGAAAATTGCCAGGCACCAAAGAAGCAGACTAGAAGAGATTGTACTATTGTGTGGGTTTGTCATTCAGCACCTGGAAAACATTGGTGAAGTCTCATGATCCTACACTGACAAACTGCCTCTGCAGCAACATCTGGATTAATGTGTTTGAGTGAATAACTGGGGACTGTAGCCTAGCCAAGGTGACACACTAAGCTAATATTACACTAGAAGACCCTTTAAGTCTAGAAATTCCAATTATCACTACTAGGGGAAGCTTTTCCCTTTAGGAGTTAATATTTCCAAGAAAAAAATGCTAAAAGAAAAGATGCACTTCTGAAATTACATTATAAGGGAGATATTTCTAATTTTCTTTTAATTTCTTTGTAAATCTAAGTTAATCGTAGCTTTGAGGTTGAGAATTAAAAAAAAAATAATGAAAATCACTGAATCTGTCAGGTGACCAGAAATGAAATAACTCAAATTATCTGATTTTCTCTCATCTTATTTCAAACTGAAAATGTCAGGAGACAATAAGAAAAATTTGATGTAGCAACAAAATAAATATCACTGTAATTTTATAAGATTAAACCGGTTCACTATTTCTCCTTAATATATGAAATGACCAGGGCCCTGAAAAGTAGAAGAAAAATTGGCAGAGAGAGACAGACAAGATTGGCTTAGTGAAAATCAAAACCAGAGGCAAGTGTAACACATAAAACGTTGAGGGTGAAACTGCTGAAGATCTTTGTGCTTTCTTCATTTTCCCAAAGTTGTGAGGAAGAAGTGGTATGGACCATGATTTATGATTCTTGAGTAACAAAAAATATATTGTTGATTACTGAATTATACAAGCATTATCATGCTAAAATTCATTTCATTAATTCAAAGACCAGAAATGAGAGAAAAGGGAACTTAGCACAGAAAACAGAAAGCAGAAAATAAGATAGTATATCTAAATCCAGCTATTGAATTAAATATTATTAACTGAATTATCTAGTTAAAATACAAAAATAGAAAAAAATTGTGTCATATTATGCTTACAAAGGACACATCCAAAATATGAGAGGGGCTGGCACTGTGGTGTAGTGGGTAAAGCTGCTCAGCCTGTGATACTGGCATCCCATATAGGCTGTGGTTCAAGTCCCGGCTGCTCCTCTTCTGATCCGGCTCTCTGTTACAGCCTGGGAAAGCAATAAAGGACAGCCCAAGTGCTTGGGACCCTGCACCTGCATGGCAGACCCGGAAGAAGCTCCTGGCTCATGGTTTCAGATCAGCCCAGCTCCAGCCATTGTGGCAATTTGGGGAGTGAACCAGTTGATGGATGACCTCTCCCCCTCTCTCTCTTTACCTCTGCTTCTCTGTAACTCTGCCTTTTAAATAAACAAATAAATCTTAAAAAAAAAACCAAAATATTAGAATACTAAAAGTTTTTAACTATCAAACAATAGAAAAAGATGGGAAAAGATATTAAAATACTATTCAACAAATTGTATTAAAATAGTAATATTAATATTTAATAATAAAGACCTTAAGGCAAAAATACTTAATACAAAGAGCCATTCAAAAATGACACAGTTTCAATTACAAAGAAAACATAAAAATTTAAATCATCTATGCTTCTGTTAAGTCTCAAAATATATAAAGCAAAAATTGACAGAAAAAGAAATTAGAGAAATTCTTAATAACAAAATTTTAACAAAGCCTTTAAAATAATTGTTGCATAAAAATTGGACTGGCTAATAAATCAGTTTGACCAAGCTGTCTAAAACATTGTATCCTACAACTGCAGAATGTAAATTCTTTTTTTTTTTTTTTTTTTTTTTACAGGCGGAGAGGACAGTGAGAGAGAGAAAGAGACAGAGAGAAAGGTCTTTCTTTACTGTAGGTTCACCCTCCAGTGGCCACCGCGGGCGGCGCACCATGCTAATCTGAAGCCAGGAGACAGGTGCTTCTCCTGGTCTCCCATGGGGTGCAGGGCCCAAGCACTTGGGCCATCCTCCACTGCACTCCCAGGCCACAGCAGAGAGCTGGCCTGGAAGAGGGGCAACCGGGACAGAATCCGGTGCCCCGACCAGGACTAGAACCTGGTGTGCCAGCGCCGCAAGGTGGAGGATTAGCCTAGTGAGCCACGGCGCCGGCCAGATGTTCCAAGAATTTTTAAAAAGAATTTACTCTGGCTTTTTAAAATTTTTAAAAAGAATTTACGGTGCACTGGCCGCAGCGCGCTGGCCGCGGCAGCCATTGGAGGGCGAACCAATGGCAAAGGAAGACCTTTCTGTTTCTCTCTCTCTCACTGTCCACTCTGCCTGTCAAAAAAAAAAAAAAAAAAAAAAAAAAAAATTCTTGGAACATCTTAGCAAGTTAACCAGTATACCGTATACAAAGGGAATCTCAATAAAATATAAAGAAAGAAATCATTTGAACTGTGTTGTCTGATCTTAATTCAATTAACCAAAAATTGTTATATGTGGCAGTCTGATAATTTGCTATAAGTGAAACCCCACAAATCCCCATCTTCTTTAAGTGATGGTGGTTGAGGTGCATGAGTGGGAGGTAGAGGTTAAAAACACTTCTGATGCCTTAAACTTTTGAGTAAGGAAAGACACCTCATTGTTTTTCTCTATGGGTTTAAGGGCTGTTTAAATCTTATTTAAGGGGAAGATATTTCTACTATACTCATGTAATAGAAAAAGTTGATTTGCCGTTGTAACACATTTTACTCACATTCTTGCCTTTTTCCCATCAATGCTTAATAAGTTCTTACACAAGAGGATTTTTAAAGGGATATTTGGTTATTTCAGCATAGATATAAATTGGAAGGAGATTTGAATAAGTTATCATTAATTCATCTTCAGTTGTGTGAAAACTTTATCACAAGTTGTTCAGGTCCAACACACCTACCTTGAGACCAGAGAACTGAAAAACTGAAAAGAGACTGTACTGCTTTAAGTGAAGAAAGCTTTTCAGCACTCAGGTGGAGTCACTTCCGGGCTGGTGATAAAGCCTAGTTAGGAATGCTCCTTAATCATTTCCACAGGGCAGAAGGGGCACACTCAGATCAGCATGGTAAGTGGCTATGGTCCTTATACATTGTTGACAGTGTTGATTTGGTACTGTAGTAAGTTTTGCTTATCATGGTTGGCCCCTTCACCCAAAAAGTAGTCTTAATAAGTGGTTATTTGAGAGAACTTTTTAAAGGCATATTTGTTTCTGTCAATATTTATACACACACACACACACAAACATATATAAAACTTGGAAGCAGATTTGGATAGGCTGTAATCTGTTCATTTGTAGTTTTGTTTATTCTAAGTAAAGTTCCGTTGATTTGTAGTTATTTGCGACCTTTAATTGAAACACTGAAGCAAGATCTCCTCCTTCCTTAGTTTTTACTTTCGTTTTGCACCCGGTGTGCTGATTTTTCTGCAGAGATCAATTGTTTTACTTTTACTTATGCTGTTAGAGTTTCTGGGGACATCGGACCTGGGTTACTGTTGCTAGGATTATATGATAGGCATATAAATGCATAGCAGGGTAAAGTACAAGGATACCTTTTTGTCTTCACTTGAGTTTAGTTCTTTGGGTTCAACAATGAACAATAATTATAATAATTCTGTTTGAGTCCACCTTTTAAAACCCACTTAACTTTTTTTAATCTTCTGTATGACTCAATTTTTAGTATCTTATAATTTTTAAGTCTTCAATGGAAGCAATCTTTCAAACTTCTTTTCATTTGTAATATTCTTAGTCCATTGAACTACCTAACATGTTAAGGAAATTTAAAGTTATGTGTTCCAACATGAGGGATAGTTGTGGTACTGGAATGCTCTGTATCTTGACTGAATCACTGTCAACATGTCAATGTGATATTTCAGTGTAACCTTGAAAGATATTTCCATTGCAGGGAAATGAGTAAGGAGTGCATGAGATCTTTTGACATTCTTAAATTTTATTTTAAGTGGGGGGGAGGGATAAGGGAAGGAGAGAGAGAGAGGGAGGGAGAGGGAGGGAGAGGGAGAGAGAGGGAGAGAGAGGGAGAGAGAGGGAGAGAGAGGGAGAGAGAGGGAGAGAAATGTTTTCTCACAACCAAGGCTGAGCCAGGCTAAAGTTAGGAGCCCAGACCTCCAGTCTGGGTTTCCCACATGGGTGGCAAGAACTAAACTGCTTAAACTTACTAGTTATTCCCAAGATACACATTTGCAGGAAGCTGGAGTGGAAGCGGAGTTGCAACTTTTACCGGATATCTTGATATGGTATGCAAGTATCCCAAGTGGCATTTTAGCCACTGCATCAAATGCCTACTCTCTAGGGGTTTTTTCTTAGAACTGCATATGAATCTATAATGATCTTAGAATTGAAAATTTATACCTTCCTAGTAATTCCAATCTTTTTTTAGCAGCATTTATTAATTTGCTATGACTTTCCAATGTTGATATTCAGTGAACATTGTATAATTTCATGCTGTGTTATAGTGAGACGAATAGTTGAACACAGTTTGGAAAGGAAGAAGAGGCTAAGAGAAGAATAAGATGAAGGCGGTTTTTATACCCTTAGACACAGTTATGGTATAAACTCGGCTGCTTCTGAAAATCAAGAGGAGCACTTGTTGGGCCAAGACATTCCTGCTGAGTTAAAAAAGAGCAGTATTGCTCTGATGTCTGAACCACTTGGTCAACAGACTACATGAAGAGCAACATTTTTCTTCATGCTAGTTATTATTTTTGCTGTGAATACTGTGAACAAATTTCATGAATGTTTCCCAGTGGAGTATACTGAGTGGTAGACAGCTAGGGATGGAAATTGTGTGAAACCTGCATATAAATTTTGCAGATTAAGAGGTTTTAATCATGGAGAAACAATGAAGATTCATCTTCTTGTTCTAAATTTTAACTTAAATTTAAGGAACCAAGTTTTAGTGTAATTAGAGTAGCTAAAATATTTACAACATTTTAAGTCTGACAGGCGGGGTGGAGAAATGAAACTGATTTTGAAGTTAAGGGTATTAAAAGTCCATTTATGATGAAACTGTTTTATGTTCCAAATATTGAATATTCATCAATCTTAAGTGCAGTGCTTTCTAAATGAAATTCATAGTCTATCATGAGAGACCACACAGAGAAGAACTATGGAAGCTCTGTGAAAGTACTGACCTTGAATTTCTCATGAAGCAAAGAGGGCTATGTTACACCTCATGAATCACAGAGACAAAGTCCAAGGGTTTGATGCCACTGAACATGAACAGAGTCCAAGTCTGTTGGGGTGTGGCTGGTCAGGGCTCTCTCTCTCGCTCTCTCTGACTAGTGATCTGTGTAGACCACAGGCCAGTGATAGGCAGGGAAGCCTGAGGTCTTTCTATGGTTGACTCTGACTTTGAGACAACACAGCTGTAGACAAGTGCAGAGCTGTCATTTAGGTTATTGAGTAAACAAGCTTGAAGGACTCAGCTGGTGCATTACAGGCTGCTCACTATGTAAACCTTCTGCATAGACTTGTTCCAGGACCACCGGCAATCAAAACCCAACAATGTTAAAATTAACAATTGTTTTTGCTTTAGTTTTTTAGAATGTTCTTTCCCTCTCCTAAGAATAGATAACTCTGTTTAAATTCACCAAAATGTTATTTGCCTTTTCAAAAAAAAAAAAAAAAGAATGTTGATTTATTTTGTTATAAGCATTTCCCAAGTCATAAATCATTTCTTTTTTGAGTAAACATTTAAGGTTTGCATGACATGCCATTGCATTGAAGCATCATCCTTTAAATAAAAGGCCAGCAATATATGAGAGGTTAAGTGTAATAAATCGATTATTTCTCATTTTTCACTCTCACATTTTTAGTCCTTTAAATGACATTGTGCCCATATCTTTGCATTTCATATTGTCTTTTTGTGATTCATTTGTTTATGTAATTTGACTATTTAGTGGGTTTCTCAAGGATTTTTTAAAATTAGTGCATATAAAATTGACTCATAGAGCCCTTTCTATAATAAATGTTTTGTATATCAATCTGTTTGCTATGGTATAGAAGTTCATATTTTTGGTAGTTAAACCTAAGGCATTTTTCTTTGGTAAACACTCCATTACTTTTTTTTAAAGATTTTATTTATTTTATTTGAGAGCTAGAGTTACAGACAGTGAGAGGGAAAGAGAGAAAAGTCTTCCTTCTGTTGGGTCCACTCCCCAAATGGCTGCAATGGACAGAGCTGTGCTGATCTGAAGCCAGGAGTCAGACACTTCCTCTTGGTCTCCCATGTGGGTGCAGGGACCCAAGGACTTGGGCCATCTTCTACTGCTTTCCTAGGCCCTAGTAGAGAGCTAGACTGGAAGTGGAGCAGCCCGGACTAGAATGAATGCCCATATGGGATGCCGGCGCCGCAGGTGGAGGATTAACCTTCTGCGCCATGGAGCTGACCCCACTCCATTACTTTTTTTTTCCAGCCTTTTTTTTTTTTTTTTTTTTTTTTGGACAGGCAGTTAGAGAGAGAAACAGAGAGAAAGGTCTTCCTTTTTCCATTGGCTCACCCCCTAAATGGCCGCCACAGCCGGCGCACTGTGCTGATCTGAAGCCAGGAGCCAGGTGCTTCCTCCTGGTCTCTCATGCAGGTGTAGGGCCCAAGCACTTGGGCCATCCTTCACTGCCCTCCCAGGCCACAGCAGAGAACTGGACTGGAAGAGGAGCAACCAGGACAGAATCCGGCGCCCTGGATTAGCCTAGTGAGCCGTGGTGCTGGCCTCCCACTCCATTACTTTTAACCTTAGAATACCCTTCCTTATTCAGAGTACATATAATAGGAAATATAAAATTTAAGCATGTGAAAAAGGTAATGTCTTTAATTTATCTATAATGAGCTTTAACATGTGACAATTTTATACATTGACTTTAGTTTTATTCCTTGCCAAAAACTAGCTACTTTTTTCCTTGATAAGTCAGCCTGATACTTATAGATTATATAAGTATCTATAGAAATTGCTATATAGATTATGAGTCTATAAATAAGCTTAACCCAGTTCTTAGTCTACCATACACTGGGTACATAATTTTTGTTGCCGTAAGAAACATTTTAGTGGGATTTGAGTCCTTGGTTCAATTGTTCCTGGAGCTACCTATATGATAGTTTTTGGTTTCCATGAGACACTTTTGATTATCCTTGTAACGAATTTCTTTTGTAATATTTATAATTTGACTTCTGTCATCTGTAACAAGAGGTGCTGAATGACATTGCTCATGTTGTCTAAAAACACCTGTTTAGTTCTAACTTACAATGGCTTGTTTCAGAGGGAGTGCCTTTCCATTCATATTGGTCAAGCTGGCATCCAGATTGGGGACGCTTGTTGGGAACTTTATTGCCTGGAACATGGAATCCAGCCAGATGGCATCCTTCTTGACAGTAAACAGCATCAGCTGGAAAATGCTAACATGGAGCATATGAGTACATCTTTTAACACCTTCTTTTGTGAGACAAGGGCTGGGAATCATGTGCCCAGAGCACTCTTCATGGATTTAGAACCAACTGTTATAGGTAATACAGTTTTGCATTCTAGTGTACATAACCCAGACAAAATAAGCAAGTCAAGTGCTTGTGATTATCAGAGCTAGCTAATCTACCTGTACATGGTCATGTGGAAGTTTTCCAATTGTAAAGCTTCATTCAGTGACAATTTAGAGTGATGAGCAAGACAAACATATCCAAAGGGAAGATTAGGTTTCCCTATGCAATAAAACTAGTTAAAGCCATTAAAATTTATCTGCACATTTATCAGAATAAAACAGTAAATCTTTTCCTGGATTTGAGAGCCAGTTGTTAGAAACCATTGATAAAGAATCTAAAATGTTGTCAGTTTTTACTTGTAGACTATTTGAAAATGATTTCAAAGAAGAAAAGAGTCAAATAAATCTTCAAATTGTGGGGGAAAACATCACAACTTTATGATTGTTAATGCTGAACTTTGTAATTTCTTGTTCAAAAACTTGAAACTAGAGAATTCTGGAGTCTTACTGACTTAAAAGAAAATCTAGAGAAGAATGTAGATTTGAGTTGAGATTGTGTGTTGGTTATTTATTCCTGTGTAATTAACAATTCCCAGACTTAGTGGTTTAAGACAGTAACATTCACTATGTTGTTCATGAATCTGCCATTTGCATTGGGCTCAGAGGAACAACACCTCTCTGTTTCACTTGGGACCAGCTAAGAAGGTTCAAGGGGAAGCTGGGAGATCTACTTTGAAGGTGGCTCACTCTCATGGCTGCCAAGTTGGTGCTGGCTATTGACTGAGGCCTGGGCCAGGGCTGTAACTGGGGGCCTGGCCCCTCTTGACTTGGGCTTCTCTATGGATTGCTTGGGTTTCTTTGTGGTATGGCAGCTGGGTTCCAAGAATTATAATCCCATGAAAACAAGAGAGAAGTTCACGGCATTTCTATAACTCATTCCTTGAAATCACAGAGTGTCACTTCAGCTATTCTCAATGAATCTAGGCAGTTATAAAGATCCCCCAGGCAAGAGACAAAAATCCCTCCTTTTGTTACAGAATAGTGAGGTTCTAGAAACACGTGTGAGATGGGATATACTGTTGTGGCCATCTTTGGAAAACACATTCTGTCCATACTAGATTGGAGTTGATTTTCTTATCAGAGTAGAGCCAGAATAAGTTACAAAATTGTAGGGGAAAGTAGACTCATACCCATGTGAATGAACAGATAAATAATTTTGAGAGGGTGAAATTAAAACCTGTTGAGATCTATATATGGGTCCAACATTACTCTGTTGGATACTGTAAAAGTAAAAAATAAGGAATTATTGATGACTTTAAGAAAGGATGAGATTCATACGAAGGCTAAGAGAAGCAATTGTTTTATATTCTGACTTGAGTTATACATGCTTTAATAGAATATCTGTGTTTTTGTTTCAGACAAGTAGGAGTTTGCAACTGTGAGCATCAGCAGAGATCTTGTGTCTGGGAGCTGGGCAGGCTAGAAAATGTATGTCCCTAGCAAACTTTGACAAATGTAGCTGAGGGATCAATATAAGAAGTCACATCTCAGTATTAGGGATGTTAAAGCAGATATTTTAGCTTGTGCCCATCCAGAGATGTTAGGCAAATGGGAGGATTAAGGCTCAGGATCAGAAGCTGAGGAAGTCAGAGGAGAAAGACAGAAGGTGAAGACTGAAAGAAAAATTCCAATCCTCTGGGACTCAGCCTGGAGGAATGGTGACTTTGGGGGTCTTGAGCTGGTTCAAAGATCCCTGAACACAGTTCTCAGATTTCAGGAGAAGCCACTGTCTTTCCTTGTTTTATTCAACAAGTAAGAGAGCCTTATCTGTCCTAGGCATCATTCTTGACTCTGGAGAGGTATATAGTCTTAGTCCTCATGGAGCTGACTTTCAAGTGGGGTTCAGACCAATAAGAACCAAACAAATAGCATGTCTAATGTTGATAGTGGTATGGAGAAAAACAGAGTGGGGTGATGGGGCAGGGACTGTTGTGAGTGGGAATCAGTGGGTTATAAGATTGTCATGGACCTAATTATAGGGATCTGAAGGAAATGAAGTTCAGAATTACTTCTCTGGAAAATATCAGAAGCTTTTTTGACAAAGTGATATTCCATCTGAGTCTTGAATGGGTGCAGAATAGTTCACAGATGACAGAATAGAAACCACAAACAATGATACATTCAGACACCTGTGAGTATTGTTTTGGCTTGAACATGGAAAATGAGTTGATAAACAGGAATCATTGAAGGCTAAAACAGGATTATAAATAACAATCTAGTGGTTTAGAAAACAAACAGTTTCAAAAACTGTAGTCTTAGAAGGCAAAAAATGGAGTCTCCTTAAATAAGATGCTTAATCTGAATTTTAAAGGAAATAGTAGGGGGCAGTAACGACTTTATAGCATGGAAAAAGATGATTAAAAACAAATTGAGTTACTAAGATTAGTCACAGAGATTTATTCATTAATTTCTTCAACATTTACTTGGTACATGCTATGTGCCGGATATTTATTGAGACAGTGAGAATTGGAGAAAGTTATAGGACTGTTGTAATGTGCGGGCTTCACCTAATGCCCTGGTGTTGAGAATAGAAAAGAAAACTGATCAGGGAAATGTCTGTGTAAAATAGATTAAAGGAATAGATTATATGAGGGAAGATCTGAAAAAGTTACTAGAAAATGGATGCTATCTTCTACTTCTATTCTTCCTTGATATCTTTAAAACTCCCATACGTGTTAAATAAATGTTCAAGACAGAGAAGACAGAAGGGCCTCCCAGACTTTGCTGATTCAATAATGAGATTGATAGATGAAATATGAATATTAGAGGAGGACCTTATTTTCTAGTAGAGACAAGTTCAACGTGGGACATGGAATTTAATTTTTTAAATTTCTTCTTAATTCCAATTTTATGTGTTTATTTTTCTTTAAAAATGTTTCAGGAAATTGTACATATTTATGAGGCACTATGTGATGCTTCATTACGTGTATATATTATGTGATATCTAATCAGGGTAAATTATTTATTCTTTCAACTATTTAACATTTCTTTATTTTGGAAACATCCAAGAATCCTATCTTCTAGTTTTTAAATATAGAAACACATAATAAATCAACATTATCTATCTTCATCCTACTATGCAACAGAACCCCAGAACTTTATACACCCATCAATTACCCTTTCTTCCTCCCTCCTTCTCCACTTCCCGCCCCAGCCTCTGGTAACCACCACTGAATTTTAATTTCTATGAGATCACCTAAACGTTTTAGATTCCACAGATGGGTGAGATCAGTGATATTTGTCTTTCTGTGTTTGGCTTATTTCACTTAACACACTCACCTCTATCCAGTTCCATCCATGGTGTTGCAAATGATAAGATTTCATCCTTTTTATGGCTAAGTATGTACCATGTTTTCTTTATCCATTCATCAATTGATGGGCACTTAAATCATTTCCATTTCCTGGCTATTGTGAATAGTACTACAATAAACAGGGGAGTTCGGATGTTTCTTTCAGAGATGGATTTTATTTTCTTTAGATTTAAAAAAATATTTATTTATTTATTTGAAAGGCAGAGTTACACAGAGAGGAGAGGGAGAGGAGAGGGAGAGAGAGGGAAAGAGTGGGGGGGGGAGAGAGGGGAGAGAGAGAGAGAATCTTTCAACTGCTGGTTCACTCCCCAAATGGCTACAATGGCCAGAGGTCGGCCAGGCAGATCCAGGAACCAGGAACTTCTTCTGGGTCTCCTATGTGGGTGCAGGGTCCCACGCACTTAGGTCATCTGATGCTGCTTTCCTAGGTATATTAGCAAGGAGCTGGATTAGAAGTGGAGCAGCGAGGTCTTGAACCAGTTCACACAGGAGATGGCAGCATTGCAGGTAGTGGCTTTTTACCCACTACACCACAACTGCTCTCTCCAGCCCTACCCTGCCTTTTTTAAAAAATTTTTTCCTTAGATTTATAATCAGAAGAGGGTCTGCTGGATCATATGGTAGTTCTATTTTTTTTTTCTGCTCCATACTGTTTTCCACAATGGCAGCAATAATTTACATTCCTACCAAGTGTCCAAGGGTTCCCTTTTCTCCACATCCTTGCCAACACTTGTTACCATTTTTCAAAGATTTTTTTTATTTGGAAAGACAGTGTTACTGAAAAAGAAAGATCTTCCATCTTCTGGTTTACTCCCCAAACGGCTGCAACAGCTGAAATGGGTAAGGCTGAAGCCAGGAGGCTAGATCTCCTTTGGATTTCCCACATGGGTGAGAGGGGCCCAAGTTTCTGGGCCATCTTCTGCTGCTTTCCTAGGCACATTAGTAGAGAGCTAGACTGGAACTGGAGCAGCTGGGACTTGAACCAGTGCTCATTGGGATGCCAGCATCTTAGCCAGCAGCTTAATCCTCTCAGCCATAACCCTAGCCTCATTTTTTGCTCTCTCTCTCTCTCTCTCTCTCTCTTTGATAATATTTAATTTTACTGCAGTGAGGAGCTATCTTATTGTGGTTTTGATTTGGATTTACCTGATGATTAGTGATGCTGAGAATTTTTCATGTATCTGTTGGCCATTTGTATGTCTTTCTTTGATAAATATCTGTTTAGGTCTATTGTCCATTTTAAAATTGGATTGTTTGCATTTTTTTCTGTTGGCATTGTTTGAGTTCTTTATATATTCTGGACACTAAACCCTTATGAGACATTTACCTTATAAATAAACTCTCCTATTCTGTTGGTTGTCTCTTCACTCTGTGGATTGTTTCCTTTGCTGTGCAAAAGCGCTTTAGTTTGATGAAACTCAATTTGTCAATTTTTGCTTTCATTTCCTGTGCTTTTGGGGTCGGATCCAGAAAATCTATTTTGAATTGATTTTTGTACAAGGTGAGAGTGCTCTAGGTTATTCTTCTGCATGTGTATAATCAATTTTCTTAGCACCATTTATTAAAAAGACTGTTTTTATTCAATGCATGTTTTTAGGATCTTTGTTAAAGATCAGTTAACTATAGATGTATTGGTTTACTTCTAGGGTCTCTATTTTAT